AATGCACCAAAAAAGTTACTTGGTCTGGCTATTTAGCAGACTTTACCTCTACACGTTCATCAGCCTCTTTGTATATATGATTTTAAGTCTTTTCATTGCACTGATCACTGATACATATGAAACAATCAAGGTAGGCTCATCAGTAGCCATAAGTGGCAGCATTTTCCTAGAATTTGTGGAGTGACAATAACATATAGTACCTATGGGGGAGGGGAATTAATGGAATGTTAATTTCTTCAGGGTAGAGAAGGACTTCAGTTTTTCTGAGAAACAGAAATGAAGGAGAAATAGAAGTGTAGAATGTTGGAGGTTTTGTCTTCACGTAATTGTGCTTTTTATTAAAATTATAAGGATTAGTAAGTATTGTGTGAGTACAGCAGATGACCTTCCAGAAAGCCAGAATTTGGAGTGGTGAACTTTTTTTTTACATTAATCCAATGGAAAATTTTAATTTCTATATAAATTAAATCTCTGAATTTGAGAAGACAAATATTAGCTGCAATTTCCAAGGTAACTTGTTGAATAGACCTATGTGCATAAGGAACAACACAGAAGAGATCTGGAAGTGAATAGGAAAGTTGAAAAAAGATAAAGGATGTGAAAGTTTAAAGTCAAAAGTAAAATACAAAGTCATTAAAAAAAAGAAAAAAGAGAGAGAAGAAATAATTTATATATATATAAAAAGCCCAGCTGCGGTGGCGGGAGCCTCTCCTGCCTCAGGGGTAGCGCTATTGAGCAGTGGTGGTGGCAGGCGCAGTGGGGCCAGGATGAGTGACATTGGAGCTGTGCCTGGCCCCGGCTGGGGCTCCTCCCCGTCCGCCTGCTGCTTTGGCACTGCTACATCCCCCAAGGCGTCCCGGATTGCAAGAGGGTGCAGGCCAGACTGAGGGACCCCACCTGTGCACGAATCCGTTCACCGGGCCTCTTAGTGTATTAATAATATAGAAAAAAAAGGTACCGATGGCATTAATCTCACATCACTTAGGTCATTTTTTCCCCGTTCATTATGTGGTAGGCAGCTAGACAGACATTTGCGGAGCAAGGACAATGGGCAGGTAGATTGTCTTTACCCAGCAAAGACAATTGTAGGGTGGGCCCTTGCCCCCAGGGTAGCCTTTCTTTTCTCCTCCTAGCATATCTCTGGTCATGCAATTTGGACCCCCTGACCTTTCACCCTAGAAATAGCATCTAGGCTTCAGTTGTATTTTAGTTCCAGAAAAGCAACAAAACCAGCTACAGCTGCCCTCAGGACCAGCTGCCCTGCTGCTGCTGGGGTGGGGAACTTTTAAAATCCAGTTTTATAAAGAAAAATTGACCTCTTCGTTTGGAATGTGCTGTCACTGAACTCAGTACTCCTTTGCATGGTCCCCTCCCCAGTTGGAAACTTGATTTAAAAAGCTGTTATGATTTGTATTATCATTCACAAGGGGCATTTTAAAAAAATCCATTTAAGCCCTATGAAATATGGAAAGGCAGAATAAACATCCAGATAGGTTTAAATTTCGAATAACCTTGTATTGCTAGGTACACTACTGGCATAGGCACTTGCACTGGGGACTTTTCTTTCTGGGTATGAGAGGCAGAATGAAATGAGATGGGCCAGGGATTGGGAGTTGATGCATTACGAGTTGATAATTATGAAAACTTTGCTCAGGAAGCCAGGGCCATGACTGCATGCTCACTGAATCAGATTTTAGGAGCTGAATGCTTGTTTGGCAGATCCGTGCTTAGAGTCACCACGGTGACTGGGAAAGAATGTAGTTGTACCTGTCCAAATCCCTTCCCATGATGCTCTAAAAATCTACCACCTTCCACTCTGCATGCAGAGAACTGTATGTTCTTTAAAGGCGACATCCACTATCTCTAAGGGTAACATGACTTGACAACTTTCCATAATACAACTTGAGACTCATAGTTTAGATGTTAACTTCTTTTCGTGGACTCAGAGCACTTCCAAATGGGAATGCTGAGTTATTTCTGATCCTTTGTGGTCAGGGCACCTTCTCGAGTCTTAGATCCCCAAACTGATATAAATATGAGGCCCTTATACAAGGCTTTCTGTCCAGAAGAGAGACTCCCAAAGGGTGTGCAGACTGGAAAGGTCCCTCACAGCACTCAGGTCTTTGTTCAGACACCTGGACCAGCTTAGGAGCATTCAGGGCTGGGCTGAGGGAGGCTAGGTATGCCCACCCCTCAGCTCCCAGCAACATCATTGTTAGTCTGCATCAGCTGGGCCACTGGGTCCAGCCAAGGTGCCTGCTACACATTAGCCTCCAAGTCATGGGCTGTAGGGCGAGGTTCTCAGACTGGGAGCAGGACTGGCTATGCTTCCGGGAAGGAGGGCTCAGAGGGACTCAGACTCAACATGCTCATTTTAGGTTGAACCAGACCCACAAAGGAGAGGCCAGGAGGGCACTGCTGAATCCCAGACCCCCTTTACTTTAGCCAACCTATGACATCTCCCTGAAAATACTTGGAAGTGACTACACTGGCCCTCTAGAAAGATCTCCTCCCTTGCCTAATGAGCTATTTTAAATTAGGAATAAAGCTGTTTCAAGGGATTCATTAATGAGAGCTGTTATTTTTATTCTTCTGCACAGCATTACCAACAGGATGGCTTCCCAGAGACCAGACTTCGGACATTTATAGCAGAGTGCAAAGATCTACCCAACTCTGGAAAGTACAGATTAGACGACGAGCCTCCAGGATCTATATTCTGCTGTTGTACAAAGTAGCTCTCAGGCTTATCTGTGCTCTAGAGGAAAATATGGTGTGCAGCTGAGTTGGGAAACTATGGATATTTTAAGATCTGGTGGAGTATGTTTGAAGACTATCATTTTGAACAAATTGATAGCTATAATTCATTAAGATGCATTAGGTTTATAATTTAAAAGCAATAATTATTGTCTTTTTAGCTTTATGTTGAGTTTATTTAAAAAAAGCACTACCTTTGATTAGTGAAGCCATTGGCTTCTTATTCGTTCTTTATTTTGCCATAGCTATAGAAGGTGTTTTCTATGCCACTCTTTGTTGTTGTTGCTGTTCTTAATCCTCATCCGAGGGTATTTTCTCCATTGATTTTTAGACAGAGTGGAAGGGAGGGGGAGAGACAGAGAGAGAGAAACATTCATCTCCCTGACAGGGACTGGAGATGGAGCCTGCAACCGAGGTAGTACGTGCCCTTGACCAGAATTGAACCTGGGACCTTTCAGTCCACTGGTTGATTGATGCTCTATCCACTGAGCCAAACTGGCCAGGGCTCCATACCACTCTTTACTGTAGCTCTTAGCCTCTTGCTTACAGTGATTCGGACTGTGCTGATTGAGTCATCAGTGGAAAACATTGCCTGGACTGGGCCCGCTTGTGAGAGACAGAGGATGTTGCTGTATATCCAGTAATCATTGCTTTGTAAGACCAGGCCAGAATAGGAAACAACCATCACTGACTAACACTCCAGCATTTGTGCATCTGTTACCTGCTGCTTATAGTTCTGGAGTGGATCTGGTGTTTTAGTATTCATGTATAAGTTTCCTCCTTCAGTGTTAAAGTAAAAAGTTGAAAGAATATCTTATACATTTATGAAAATTTAAAGCACATTCAAAGGCATGTTCTATCCCACAAGGATTATTTTATCAGTACCTGCATGGCCTTGTGGACACTGATGTACTGTGTGCCCTTCACAGGCACATTCAGCCTCCGAAAGGAGCAGCATTTTAGGGTTGGGAACTGTTGTTTTGTGGGGAGAGGTTCCATAATTCACATTTAAAACATTTTATAAAACAGCTTTCCTCAAAATTTTAAAATAAGTGGGAAATGGATGCCTTTAAAAGACACAGAACCAAAGTCTCTACCTTGCAAACTGCTGATTCGAAGCTTCAGGGATTTTCCTAACATGAATCTTTGTTTTGTGTACGGTTTGTTCAAATAGAAATGAACTCAATGATGTGCAATAAAGGTTTTCTCAAAGCAAATTCTTTTTTTTTGAAGGAAACTAATTTGTCAATTTCTTATTTTGGTTTAAGGGCTAAATGAAGATAGCCTCGAGACACTAAAATCTTTATTTAATCATGTCCATAACAATGTTGAAATGTGAGATATTATAACAACCATAAGCTATGTTTGTAGTGCCTTTGGTTTTTTAGAAATAAAAAAAACCTAAACCTCTAGGTGAGTTTTGTTCCTTAGTTGTAATATTTGTATCATGATCATTTTCAGAATTTACTAGAATGCAATGTGAATTTTAAGTTGTATTTGTTATCTGGTAAATAAGTTTCTGTACTCCTTGCGAGATTTTTCGATGAGCAATAATACTTCGATGGGAACATAAAACCACTGACCCAGTGCTGGGCCTGGGGTTTTGCTTGGCCCTGAAGTCATGTTCCTGCTGTGGAATTAAAACCAGTGACGTGGCACCTTCATGAGTCTCCTGATTCTCCTAGCTTTCCTACTGTGGCAGGAGGGAGTCCCTGATAATTTCAGGGCCTAGTTTTTAGGAAGGATGACCATGAGAGAGTATCTCTATTTCCTGAAACAAACAGCACTGACTTTTTTTGAACTGTCTTCAAACCAGTACAATGGCTTGCTCTGGGCAGGCAGATAAATTATGGGCCGGTGGTTTTCATGGTTTCCTTTTGCGTGTATGTGCCATAAAGAATGTCAAGGTTCTTGTAAGAAGGACTGGCGAACAGAAGTCTCCCTTTCTTCTCCCAGGTTTCTAGACTGGGCAGCAAGGAGGAGAGGGGGCTATTAGGCTTGGTTGGTGATGTCCATTTGTCTGGAGGTCAGGTTCTCTGCTCTCTGCCCCTGACATCATGATTCTCAAGCTTGTAGACAGAATCATTGGAGGGGCGGGTTCACATGACAATGGTGGATGTGCCGGTAAAATCAGCAAAGATTTCTTAGTTTTCAAGTCCGAGGGTGACATCAGGACTCTTCATTTTATCAGGCACGCAAGGTAATTCTGATGCAAATGGTTTGTGGTGGCTGCATGGCTCAGAGCTGGACCGGAAACAGCTAAATCCCTGTAGTGGGGCTACAAATAGGGAACTATCCATACGCTTCAGGACTCAGACTGGCCTTCTGTTTCTTGACCACAGTCGTTAAGAGAGAAATCCCAAGGAAAAGAGTTTATAGACATCAAAATAGTTATCGTAGAATCTGTGTTGTCTGTTACCATTATTTTTAGGAAAATTTTGATTTTGTTGATGCACATTTTCTTTAATTTAGATGCCATTTTCTTCTATTAGTTTTATAAGACTTTGAAAAATCTAATAAATATTGAATTTTAATCTTTTTGTCCCAGCATACCATTTTCAAATTGAATTAATACATATAAATAAAGAGGTGATGGATTAGGGGAAAAAGATAAAATTATCACTAATTGATGATATGGTGGTCTACATAGAAAATTAATAGGATTAACAAAATTTTAAAGCAAGTTAAAAGATCCAGTAAGGTTGTTGTATGTAAGATCAATTTAACAACTTCCTAAGCTTCTAGAAAGATAAAGAAATTATTCACAATAGAAACAAAAATTAGAAATTATCCAGCAATTATCCTGAGGTAGAATGTGCCAGACCTCAGAGAAACTTTACAATACATAAAAGGTCTGAATAATTGCAGAGATAATGTATTCATGAATGGGGGCAACTTAGCATAGTAAAAATTCAATTCCCTTCAAATTAATCTATAAATTCAATGTAACAGCAATTAAAAACTCTAGGTGATTTTTCGAACCTCAAAAATTGAGTTCTAAAATTCACATGACAAGATCTCTATGAGGAAAACTACAAAACTCTTTTGAAAGAAATAAAAGAACAAAATTAGTTGGAGAAATATTCCATGTTCATGGATAAGAAAACTCAATATTGTCAAGATGTCAGTTTTTTCAAACTTGATGTATAGATTCAAAACAATCCCAATCAAAATTCCAATGATATATTTTGTGGATATTGACAAACTGATTCTAAAGTTTCCATAGAGAGGCAAAAGACCCCAAATAGCCAACACAATATTGAAGGAAAACAAAGTTGGAACACACTACCCAACATCAAGGCTTCCTATAAAAGTATAGTAATCCAGAAAGTGGTGTTGGTGAAAGAATAGCCAAATAGATCAATGGAACAGAATAGAGGATTCTGAAATAGATTCACTCAAATATAGTCAATTGATTTTTGACAAAGGACAACGATAGTCTTTTCAACAAATGGTGCTGGAGCAACTGGATATCCACATGTACAAAAATAAGTGTAGACATAAAGCTTACACCCATCACAAAAGCTAACTCAAAATAGATCATCAATGTCTGTGTAAAATGAAAACTAAACTCTTAAAAGATGTTCTTGTTTGGTGATGACTTTTAATAGTTTACCTTTTATTTTTTGTTAATCCTCACCCAAGGATATCCTTCCATTGATTTTTAGAGAGAGTGAAAGAAAGGGGGAGAGACAGAGAGAAACATTGATGTGAGAGAGACATATAGATTAGTTGCCTCCCACATGTGCCCTGACAAGGGTCGGGGATCGAGCCTATAACTGAGGTGACTGGAATTGAACCCAGCACCCTTCAGTCTGTGCCAACACTCTATCCACTGAGCCAAACTGGCTAGGGCTGGTGATGATATTTTTAGATGCAGCAGCAAGCACAATCTGGGGAAGGGGTTGGGGGAGAGGGAGGTAAGACTTCATTAAATTAAGATACCATGCAAAAGATACCATCAAGAGATGAGAAGACAAGCCATAGACTGGACAAACTATTTGCAAAGACATATCTGATAAACACTATTATACAAAATATGAAAAGGATTCTTCAAAGTCAACAAGAAAAAAACAAATAACCTGATTTAAAACTGGGCCAAAAACCTGAATAGACCTCTCACTAAAGAAAATACACAGCCCTAGCTGGTTTGGCTCAGTGGATAGAGCATTGGCCTGTAAACTGAAGGGTCCCAGGCTCAATTCTGGTCAAGGGCACGTACCTGGTTGTGAGCTGGATCCCCAGGAGGGGATAGCCGATCAATTATGCTCTCTCATCGTTGATATTTCTATCTCCCTCTCCTTCTCCCTTCCTCTCTGAAGTCAATAAAAGTATTTTTTTTTTAAAAAAAGAAGATATACAGATGGCAAACAAGCATATGAAAAGGTGCTTGACATTATATGGCATTAGGGAATTGCGGATAAATCAACAGTGAGATGCTACTATACACCTATTAGAATAACCAAATTCCAAAACACTAACAACACCAAATGCTGATGAGGATGTGGAGCAACATGAGCTTTTATGGAAATGCAAAAATGGGGTAGCCATTTTGGAAGAGAGTTTGGCGGTTTTTTACAAAACTATATTCTTACCATACAATAGAGCATTTGTGCTCCTTGGTATTTATGCAAATGAGTTGAAAACTCACGTCCATGCAAAAACCTGCACATGGATGTGTATAGCAGCTTTATTCATAATTGCCAAAATTTGGAAGCAACCAAGATGTCATTCAGTTTATAGGAGGTAGTCAAACTATTCTGTATGAAACTACACTGGTAGATGCATAGAGACATAAACTGGTATATTCAGATGATAAAATATTAGTGCTAAGAAGAAATGAACTATCAAGTCATGAAAAGACATGGAGGAACCTTAAACGCATATAACTTAGTGAAAGAAGCCAATCTGGCAAGGCTACAGATGGTGTAATTCCACCCATATGACATTCTGGAAAAGGCAAAACCGTGGAGACAGTAAAAAGTGGTAGTCGGGGGTTGTCAAGGAGGAGGGAAATGAACAGGCCGAGCTCAGAGGATTATTAGGGCAGTGCCATAATCCTGTTGGGCAGCTATAACCAAAGGACATAAACAAGGTGGCTTATACACAACAGAAAATTACTTTTCACAGTTCCAGAGGCAGGGAAGTCCAAGATCAAGGTGCCAGTAGACCTGGTACTTTGTGAGAGCCTGCTTTCCGGTTCATAGACAGCTGTGTATGTGCTGTGTTCTCACATGGTGGAAGTGGGCAAGGAACCTCTTTTATAAAAACACTAATCCCATTCATGAGGGCTCTACCTAATCATCTCCCCAAAACTCCACTCCCAAATACCATCACACTGGG